CATTTCTCAACTCCGAGAACTCACCTTGGCCAGCGCCCGCGTGCCTACCCACTGAACGAATGATGGGCACGAGCCGACCTCCTGCGCCAAGTCCATCCCACGCCAGCCACTGCGTTAGCCAGGAGCAATTCCCTTTCGTCCTCGCATGTCCAATCCGTCCAATAGCTCACGATCCCTCGGCCCCAACGGCAGCTAAGTTTAGATGACGTGCAGTCCAGATCGAGCGGCAGGCAAGCAGGCCAGCCCCGCTTGGCCAGTCCTGTTCCTCGGGGCAGAGTCGAAGGGGCGTCGCGGTTGGGGCCTTGGCTCGTTGCTGAGACCACTCAGGCCAAGCCAATACCACGCCTGTCCAGTCCTGGTCGGCAGAGTTTTTCTTTCATCAATAGATCAGGCGAGTCTCGAACGCACACTTGAAAAATCACCTGCTGCCGGAAAGGGAAACCCAACTCAGCGCGCAGGCGGCCTTGCGGCACGGAACGGGATGGCCCCCTCCCCCATGCGCCCTTGCGGCTGCTGAAATGGGGCGAGTTAAGATGACGGAGGGCGGGCGGGCGCGGGGGTGCACCGCGCAGGGCATGTGCAGGCTGAGACGCGACGCGAAACCGGGCAGCCGGTGAGGGACGACTCATCGGGCAGACCAAGCCGAGCCGAAGGGTGCCTGCTTGGGTTTGTTGCGCCATGCTGTGCTGGAGCGAGCGCGTTGGTCGCTGGTGGAAGCGGCAAACCCTGTCGGTAGTGTGCGCAATGTGCTGGTGAAGCGAAACAAGCATTCGCCAAGCCGGCGAGCTTGGGGGTCAAGCGGGTCCCCTCTCCCGTCGATTGAGCTTTGAGGGCAGAGTGGGTTGAGGAAGCATCACGACAACACATCGCACCGCACCCCGTACTCGGCCGTTCGGTCTGGGAGTGGCCCTCGCCTGAACTTGTACCCGGCTGGAGTCGAGGCCCAGGTTTCATCTGCTGAAACCACCTGACTGGCGAGGCGTCGAGGGCTGTTCCAGTTTGCAGCGTGGGGTTCAGGGCATTCATCATCATCAATCAGGGCCTGCCAAGGCGTTGCAGGGCGCCAAGCGCAGCAAACAGCGCCAAGGCCGGGTCCAGCGCCAAGAGATAACGCTTCGCGCGCCCGGGGGAAGTCGGGGCTGATTCCAACCCTCGGGAACTTGCTGTGTCGGCCTCGACTGATAAGAAACCAGAGCAGCAGCCCAATCCCAGGGCGCGGTTAACGAGTAGGGGGTGTCCCATGGCCTGCTGGGTGTCCTCGAGGCTCGCGCTGGGACCCTGCAGAGGAACGTGGCGTGGGTTGGCATGCTGCTGGATGCTGCTGCACGTCCCGCCCGTCATCTGTCGCCTGCAGCTGGGAATTAAATTAAAATAAAACGAAAAAAATTCGATGCCGGATCCGGGGGCTTGGGGCGAGGGAAGGGATTTCCATGCCGGCGGGCTGACAGACAGGGTGGTGGGGTGTTGATGTCTTGGTTGTTGGCAGCGCTGGACGGGCGTGGGTCGACATGACGCTTCGTCTTCATTTCCAAGACAAATCTCGAAATCTTCAAATCTGGTGGCCGTTTGGCGGTTTCCCCAGACAGATTTGCCATGTGGTTCTTATCCGTTTATCAGGGCGGCACCCCGCAGATATGATTGGCCAGAGCGCTGCGCCCCGCTCGGGAAGCCCCCAAAAACCGCCCGAGAAGGCGCACGTTGCCCTGTGGTTCGCTCGACGTTTTCCCCCACCGGCAACAGGGATCTGATTTCTCGCGATGGCGAGGTGCGTGTTGACAGTGCTGTTTATTCAGAGAATGGCATGCCTGATACGCCTTTGCGATGCGGAGATCCACCTGATGGCCAGCAGATTGCCGACATGCCGAGCGGGCGCCTGCCCCGCCTCTGGTTGGTTCTGGGGGGTGTGCCTTGGCTGTGGTTGGTGGCGTCGCGCTGTCCCGATGGGCTTGGACCGACTTGGGACGGGCTTGAATTGGCGGCTGGGATGCAGCGGCTGGGATGCATGTTGGGGGAGGATGGCTTGCCGGGGCTTGCAGCTTCGTTCACCCCCACCGATTCCGTCGGTGTTGAACTGGGGAGTCTTATCAGTGACCCACCCTCTCTCATGACGTTAACCCTGGCCAAGAACGAAACACGCCCAGAATGGTAGCAGGGGACTGATACCAGGCGATGGTCTTATCGTCGTGCAGCATCGAGGACGGGGGTAGCTCTGCGGGAGCTGCCCCCCAAGCTTCCTGATGCTGGCCCAGCTCCCCAGCTCCCGGGAAGCCGTCGGCGTATTTGACCCTGCCGATCCCTCGCCGGCTGAAGCTGACCCGGAAAACTTTGTGGTTGTTCAGTCTCACTCACTCCTCGCCTCATCGTCACCCTCGTCCTGGGAGACACGACTCTCCTTCAGACCCGGACTGGAACCGCCAGCGCGCTCTTCGTCGATCCCCGACACCCCCCCGCCCGCGATCTAGATCTCGACCCCGATCCCGATCGCCAAAATGTCCGCTGGGCCGCTCACCACATATGACGGCGTCACGGGCGTCGCCGACCCCGGCGGCGACTCGATGGCCGAGGGTTTTGATTTCAACCTCTACTACGGAGTAAGGAGCCAGCCTAAGCCCAACTGCACGGGGAACGGGGAGCATCTGTTTGGGTACGGGACACGACTAACACGTCTCCTCACTCCTCCAGGCCGGCGACTTCGCCTGGATCATGACCTCGTCGGCCCTCGTGCTGCTCATGATCCCCGGTGTCGGCTTCTTCTACAGCGGCCTGGCGCGCCGCAAGTCGGCCCTGGCCTTGATCTGGCTGTCGTTGATATCGATAGCGGTCGTCGGTTTCCAGTGGTTCTTCTGGGGCTACTCGCTCACCTTCTCGCACACGGGCAGCGCCTACATCGGCGATCTGTCCAACTTTGGCCTGATGAAGGTGCTCGGCCAGCCCAGCGTCGGCAGCGGCAAGATCCCCGACCTGCTCTTCATGCTGTACCAGGGCATGTTCGCGGCCATCACGTTTGTGCCCCTTCCCTGACATCTCACTCAAGTCTGGATCACGCAGTGTGCTGACATTTCCGATCCAGCCCCGCGCTCGCCATCGGCGCTGCTGCTGACCGCGGCCGCATGCTGCCCTGCGTCGTCTTCATCTTCATCTGGTCCACCATCGTCTACGACCCCATCGCCTACTGGACCTGGAACGGGAACGGCTGGTCCTTCAAGATGGGCGGCCTCGACTTCGCCGGCGGCACCCCCGTGCACATCAGCTCCGGCGCCGCCGCCCTCGCCTACTCGCTCATGCTCGGCAAGCGCACCGGCTACACCAAGGTCAACGGCCTCCCCTACCGCCCCCACAACGTCACCCACGTCGTCCTCGGCACCGTCTTCCTGTGGGTCGGCTGGTTCGGCTTTAACGGCGGCTCCGCCCTCGGCGCCAACCTGCGCGCCGTCATGGCCTGCGTCGTCACCCACATCGCTGCTTGCATGGGCGGTTTCACCTGGTGCCTGCTCGACTACCGCCTCGAAAAGAAGTGGAGCACCGTCGGCTTCTGCTCCGGCGTCATTGCCGGCCTCGTCGCTATCACCCCTGCTGCTGGTTACGTCCCGCCCTGGTCGGCCGTCATCTTCGGTGTCGTCGGCGGCATCGTGTGCAACTTTGCCACCAAGCTCAAGTTCCTCCTCGGCGTTGACGACGCTCTCGATGTGTTTGCCGAGCACGCCGTTGGCGGTATCGCCGGCAACCTGATGACCGGTCTCTTTGCTGCGTAAGTATTCAACCTGAAGGGTGAACACTAGATCAAATCGAGCACTCAGACTAACGTCGCTCGCACAGTGACTACATCGCCAAGCTCGATGGCTTCAGCTCCATCCCCGGCGGCTGGGTCAACCACAACTACATCCAGCTGGGCTACCAGCTCGCCGACAGCGTCGCCGGCTTCTCGTACTCGTTCGTTATGACGTGCGTCATCCTCTTCCTCATGAACCTCGTGCCCGGGCTCTCGCTGCGCGTCTCGGCCGAGGAGGAGGAGATTGGCCTCGACGACGGCGAGCTCGGCGAGTTCGCCTACGACTACGTCGAGATCACCCGCGCCATCGACGGCGCCCTCACCGGCATGTCGGGCAGCCCCAGCCACAGCATCAAGGGAGACACTCCCGAGAAGTTGGCTTAAACGTTGCGTCGCGGTCTGAGATGGGGGTGGTCGTTTGTTTTGGTGACGGGCTCGGCCAGTTGGTGAGAATCATTTTGAAAGCGCGCGCACACAGGGGGGAGGATGGGATATGATGTACTCTGCTTTTAATCGCGATACCTCATGTTACATACCACGCAGGATACCAGCTGCTTTAATTTTCTTTTTCTATCATCTAGTTCGATTCTTGAATTCTCGAGGCGCCTGCCCCGTGTATTAAAACAGCCTTGGCGGGTGCGCATAGTAGCTTCGGTGCGGCAGGCGTCGAGTCAAGCAGACTCAGGCCTGGCGTGCATTGAGGCAAGAAAAATAGCTGTTGCTGGCCATCACCGTCCTCCCTCCCATCCATTTGCCAGTCCCATGCCTTGAGTGAGAGTCGCCGACCTTCCATAACATGGCTTTCCATGGCTGAAACCTGAGTCTCAAGCTCATGTCTTGGGAGAAGCTGTACGGAATACTTATTCCGGGTCTCACCTTGGACCGAAACCCCCACGCTCACCCTTCCCACATTCCAGATTCAGCATCCAACGCGTCACTCACAAAATCCCCTTCCAGAATCATTCTGAACCAGACGATCGCCACCACTCCCTGTTCCACCGCCAATCCCAAGGTCTCACCACCTGCATATGACAGCACGTGGCAACGCCCCACGGCCCCTGATTTTGTGGCACTTTGGTTCTGTCGATCATTCGATCAGTCGGACGAACCCGACGTTTTTTTATCCACACCAGCCCCTTTTGCCAATCCCCGCACTGCCCACCTCCCCACATGGCCATCCAACCCGCTGCCTCGCAGGGCGCGGGGTCGAAAAAAGAAACGGCAAAAGGAATGGGAACTGTGAGGCTCGAACTCACGACCTCAGGATATCCCAGACTTTTTGAAGCCGGGTCATACAGACGTATGAGACCTGCGCTCTTCCAACTGAGCCAAGCTCCCTTGTGAGAGATGTTGAGATTTCGGCGGGTGGCGGAATTAAGGGACACAGTCCGCAGTCAGAATGCTGGACCAACACGATGCTTCTGAGCGCTCTTGCAGTGTTTTGTTACCATTTTTAGCTATATCCCTAGGAAGGACGAGTTGATCCATGGGAAATGCGGCCAAATGCGTCACGGGTTGAGCCCTGCAGAGGTCTTGGCCAACCCTAACCCTCGATGAGAGCCCCTGCAAAAAACGACCCCATTGACAACACACCCCACCATGCTAGTTAGTTACCCGTTTTCCACTTAGTGTCTCCGTCTGGTCAGACCATCGCGACATGCAGACCATTTTCTCGTCGTTCCTTTCTTTTCCTCAAGCTTAGTTATACTCGTAGAGTCGTCATCAGATAGTTGCAATACATTCCTGCGATCGTTACAAAATGCCATTTGTCGACTCTTCGACTCTTGCCCCCTAATTAACAGGCACTGGCGTCGCGACCATACATCTAACGAGATGACTTCCGTTCCTTGTCACAGTGCATATAGGGGGGGTTAGGCCTTTGCAGGGCAAGGATGTCCTTTTGCTCAGTGTGACATTCCTGTCTGCCCGATTTGCTCGCGGACGCCCGCGGCGACTCGCACCCACAGATCATGGGGAACAAGGGGAATGAAACAATCCGCTCCTTTAGAGGTTAGATTGTCCGAGCCGCGAGGAACTAAAACTAGAATCATGACGAGTCGATGGGGGCAGTGTAGTTCGATTTAAGTTCCTGGTTGCGGCACACGAATCTCCACACACAAGCCCTCCGGTCCATGAATTCAACCGGTCCATGAATTCAACTCCCCAGAGCCAAAAATAACCGTTTGGAGCGGAACAAGCGAAGACTGATGCCACAAACCGCACTGGTTACATGGAAATGCGCTGCTTTGTGGTGAAGTCTGAAGGCATTCTGACCAGGTCACCGGTCACCGGCCGCGTCTGAGCGCGCCAACGGCCTTGGGGGTTGGAGTCTTGCTCGAGCCGCACCAAGGACGTTGGCGTTGCATCCGCGCCCATCGTGGCGAGGGAGCTTAAGTAGCGTTCCAGCTATTGGCAAAGTCTGGCTGGCGGCGGTGACAGATCTGCCTATCCATGATGCCACTGGCAACAACCGTCATTCATCATCGACCGGATCTCTCTCCCATGCCTTTGCCGACCCGGCCGGGCCACCGGCAAGAGGATGTACTTGTCGTACATACAAAGTAGCATTCTGCTCAGCAAAAATCCGGGGAAGGACTCGTGGCTGCAGCCACCCCCTATCATCTCGCCAGCGGCTAAATTCGCGATGCGCCCCAATGGGGACCACTTCATCTGGGTGACGCGTGCCAGAGTGCAAATCAAGGGCAACCTCGTATCGGAAACCGGGTGGTCGGGCAGCCCAGTGGACGCCTCAATTCCGCACCACGTGGAAATGGGCAAAAGTCCAGAACGAGCCAGAATTTACAAAGTAGCAGACTAGAACCGTTCGGCGACCAACAAACTGACGGCGGGCAGGTAAACCATGTTTCCTGCGCACCACCACCCACGCTTCCACAAAACCCCAGGCCAGCCAAAAGGAGCCGCTTCCCATCTGACTTCTCCCACGATCCCGGCTGGGCAATCTCACGTCGGCAGTTCTGCAACTGGCTCGTTTGTCTCTTGCGCCCCGCTACTTGCTCCACCCCCATCGTCGGTACCCGAGTCGCCCTGGTCCTCAGGCTGAGAGCCAAGAGGGGGCGCCCGCCATGGCATCCGCTTTCTGCAACCCCCCTGGAACGTCGCCGAGCTTCTCGAAGCTGGGGGTGGCGTCTTCGGCTGCCCACTGCGGGCGGATGTTTGGAGGAGGGGGGAGAGTGTCGAGGTCATTGCTTTCTCCCATGTCCTCCCACATCGACGCCACCGAGGGGCAGCCTGGGATATTCGCTGTACCCCATCGTCTTGGCTTCAATCATGATGGTTCCTCAACTGCGTGCCACATCCATTCCTCCAACGGAGCCTCACGCTATTTATTTCTGGCACGAACGCCAGATTTAATTTAGCTCCTGCAACGGCCCGGTCCAGGGGTTAAGGGTTTGAGCCTTTGAGGGGGGGGAACTGCAGGGATCGACACTCGACGAGAGGGACTTCGGTATCTGCCGAACCTGGCGGACTCGACTTCGGCTCGACCGTTGGTAGCGGGCTGGCGCTGACCCCTCGAGCGCGTGCACCGTAATTTCCAGCAAATCGGAAAGCGGATGGCTCCCCGCTTCCAGGAAACATGGGATCCCTCAGGGCAACCTCCCCCCTGCGGCAGTCCCCACGGCAAGTCGTCTTATTCCGGATTGCTGGATTCGGTTGGGACCGACCAGGGACCGCGCCGCCTGGCCCCTCTGGTTTCGGACTGGAGCGTCCGGGGCGGTCATGCGGCGCCGTCGACCAACGGTCCTACACTATCTCGGCTGGCTGGGCGTGGTGGAGTTCGGCAACAGACCTCATCGATGCCATGGCTTCTGGAATAGGTGAGGAGGGAATCCCGGGACGGCGCCCGCCAGGCATGGGCCACGGCGGCGTGCTCGCCGACTCCCTCGAGCCAAGTGCTTAAATATTCCCGTCCCTCTCCGACCCGTCTCGTCGCCAGCACGCTTCACCCTCCCCTTCACCATCCAGGCCCTGTCCCCGAAGACCAGTGCCCAAGATGCCTTCCGCCCTCGTCTCCCTCGCCCTCCTGGCCGGCAGTGCCTTTGCCCAGCAGCAGAACCTCTGGGGTCAATGCGGTGGAATCGGGTATGGCGGTCCGACCAACTGCGTCGCCGGCAGCTGCTGCAGCACCCAGAACCCGTGGTATGCCCAGTGCACGCCCGGCTCGGGCTGCCCCGGCAACGGCGGCGGCGCCACCTCGACCGCCGCGGTGACGACTACTAAGGCCACCAGCGTCGCCGTCACAACCACGAGCTCGGCTCCTGCCACCACCAGCAGCAGCACAAACAGCGGCCCGCCCATCCCGGCCGGCTCGCTCCAGCAGGTCAACAGCTTCGGCAGCAACCCGAGCAACATCCAGATGTTCATCTACGTCCCCAACAAGCTCGTTAACAACCCCGCCATCATCGTCGCTGTAAGTGGCTTCACCCACCCCCTGACGAACGACAAGACGGGCAACGTGCTGACCCCTCCCCTCTTTTTAGCTTCACCCCTGCGGCGGCTCGGCCCAGCAGTGGTACTCGGGCACGCAGCTCCCCTCGTACGCCGAGCAGAAGGGCTTCATCATCATCTACCCGCAGACGACGGCCTACACCAACTGCTGGGACGTCAACAACGTAGGCTCGCTCACGCACAATGGCTCGGGCGATGCCGCCGGCGTCATCAGCATGATCAACTTCACGCTCAACAAGTTCAGCGGCAACCGCAACAAGGTCTTCGTCATGGGCGCCTCGTCGGGCGGCATGATGACCAACGTCATGGTCGGCTCGTACCCCGAGTACTTTGAGGCCGGCGCGTCGTACTCGGGCGTGCCCTTCGCCTGCCTGTACGGCAGCACCACGCCCCCCTCCCCCTCGGGCTCCAACCAGACCTGCGCCCAGGGCCTCACCCACACGCCCCAGGAGTGGGCCAACTTTGTCTACAACGCGTACCCCGGCTACACCGGCAAGCGCCCGCGCATGCAGATTGCGCACGGTCTGGACGATGGGCTCGTCCGCCCCGTCAACGGCTGGGAGCAGCTCAAGCAGTGGGGTGCCGTGCTCGGCCTCACCAACACGTACAACGTCACCGGCGCGTCCGTGCCCGAGGGCTCCGAGTACATCCAGGTTGTGTATGGTGATGGGTCGAAGCTGGTTGGCTACATGGGCCAGGGCGTCGGCCATTGGGCGCCAGTGAAGGAGCAGGTCATGCTCAAGTTCTTCGGGCTGCTTTAAGTGAGACGGAGGGGAGATGGATGTACATACGGGGTCCGGGGGGAATGCCCTGGGCTGATGCTGGGAAGTGGCTACTATCTTTAGGTTGTAATAACACAATTAAGTACAGATGGACCAGCTGCAACCTCCTGCTCATCCCATTCCAAACACTTGTACAGCTTCATACTCCCCCACCATGTAGGGAAATTATCCTGCTATAACATGCTCAAAACCTTGACACGTCTACTTTCCCGGGAACCGACCCTGGCCTCATGGCTCGGGTACCCCGACAGCCCCGATCCTGGCAACTCTCCTCCGGTTTTCTTTCAATCGAATGGTTGTGCCAGGCCCCGTTCTCTTTTCTGTGCCACCGCTCCCCCTCGAATACCTACCATTTCGTTTTTCCTGAGCGCCATCTCCACCTTCAAGAGAGGCCGTTCAAAACACCTAAACTCGCTCACCGAGAACAGCATTGTTCCCAGTGGAGTGGTGGTTTCCAGCAGCGAGTCGTGTCGCGTGTCGACCTTGCGAATCCACGCCGCCCGGTTTTCAAAGACGGCCCTTGCTGCGATGTTGGGGTCCAAATCCACGCCCAAACCCAGCCGGCATGCTTTGTAGACCGCCCTCCAGTCCAGAACAACAAACCAAGGCTTCGGCTTAGGCCGCGGAAGGTATGCGCGCGCCTCGAGCTCTGGGCGCACTCGGCGCGCTTCGACCCATGATAATACCAAGGGGCCAATCAGAGGCTTGCTCGAGAACGATGACGCCAAAGGGTATCACCTCGTCGTGCAACTCTCCGGCCGCCGCGTCCCCACCGCTACCCTGCTACTGCTTTGCTTGCTCCTTGAATCGTCCTGCTCGTCAACGCGGACCCAATGCAACGGCGGAGGATTCTTGGGCTTCTGTGCATGAAACTGTATGCGCACGGTCGTGAAAAATGCGGCCCCGAAATCAATACCCAGAAGCCCTGGATGAACAACAACCACCGTCGGTGCCCGCTCGTTTGGTTTGTGCTCCCTTATACCCCATTTCTAACGACCAACGGCGAGATATGGTGTTTGGAAACTGAACCATGAGTTTCTTACTTCCATCAGGAGAACTATAGCTCTGCAGCAAGTCCAGGGGCGTGAC